TTCACTGCCCCCTCTGAGCCCTGGTCTTTCCAACAAACAGCGCAGAGCCAGATCTGAGGACAAAAACCAGACCAAATGAGTTTAAGCCCTTTAGGACAGAGTTCAAGGTCTGAAACAGGCTGTTCTCACCTGTGGCTGCTCCACACAGGTGTTTCCCAATTCCAACTAATGGAGGTTTCTTCTGTCGGAGCAGTGGGACTTTACCTGAAAACACCAAACATCCACAGAGTCTGATCAGAGAATTTAAAACACATTCTAAGACTTCAGAAGCTCTAAACCCTCAGTGTCTCCAGCTGTTTGTGTCTTACTTAAATCCAGATGCTGAATGTCAACCTGCAGCCTCTGGAACTGAACTCCAGCATCCTGATGTTTCCCGTCCACCTGGAACAGAGCAGGACAGGTCTGACCTAGTTTCATTTCAAGGCTTCAAGTCTCAGTCTGACCTTTCTGACACCCACTGGTTAAAACTCTAGCAGTAGAAGGGACTGTGACCTTGCACGGTCTGGAGTTAGAGTCTGGGGTTAAATGTCAAGAGTTAGAAATTAGGACGGGGTGGCCAGTCCCAGTCCTTGAGGGCTGATGCCCTGCACCATCTTAGATAAAGGTGGAGTGACCAAAGACTAAGTGAATTGGTATGTTCCAGCTTTTGACTGACTGAACACACCCAATCCAGGTAATCAGCAGTGGGTAGGGCAGGGACAGTTGGGAAACAAGCAGGGCGGCGGCCCTCGAGGACCAGGATTGGCCTCCTCTGGTTTAGGACTTTGGGAATGATGTTATTCTGGTATCTGGAAACAAGATTCTGGCAGTAATAGATGAGGAGATGTAGTTATGGAGTCAAGATGTCATAAGTCTGGAACTGGGAGTTATTTTGGAGCTTTGGGTGAGGGAGATGGGGAGTTGATATGTGTTGAGTAATCAGGAAGTCGAGTCAGAAATCATGAAATTCACATCAGGAGTTTGGATGTCGGCAGTCTGTAGTTTGGCATTACAGTGCTGGGAAGTAGTGGGACTTGAGTTTAGAGTCAGGACTCTAGAGTAACGAGGTTTCTCTGTGCCTTAAAGCGGGTGCAGCAGCGCTCCACCAGCAGCAGCTGCAGGTCCTCGCAGGTCTTCAGGGCCTCATGGATCCAGTGAGACAGTTTCCCTCGACCTGCTCCAAACTCCACGAAGCATCGCCGCCCTCCCAGCAGCCCCAGCTCCTCCAGGTGACCTAAGATAGAGGACTGGACACACCTGACAGGTCAGACAGGGGGATTTGGTCCTGGTCTGCAGAGTAAGTTCCCACTGCTACTTAAAAACATCAGAAACCAACACACAAGATGTTTGTGTTTACAGCTGATGACATGTTGCTGTCTGGAGGTGATCAGAGGCACCTGGACCTGGACCTGCATCAGTACTATCTATAAGACCATAATCAAAGACTTGGACTTGATCTGTGGCATTCTGCAGGTATGTATGACCCACTCTCACTGGGTTAAATAAAGGTATTCTCAGGTGTGCTCAGATGTGTCTGTACCTGCTGTTTCAGGTGTTTGTGAGCGGAGTCTCCGTTCTTTGGGTTGCTGAGTTCGTCCTGAAGGACGTGGTGAGACAGAACGCTGTCACCTACGTCGCACTGCAGGCCTACAACAACAGTAGTGAGAGCCTGAGAAACCCTCACAGACTGGATGAGGAAATAAAATCTGGTTTCTGACCCTGGGGGACTTGTATCAAAGACCAGTCAGGGTCTTGCCTCAGTGCCAGTTGTCAAACAGCAGTACTGGATGTCCTGCCGCTTTTATTAATCAAGTCAGGTGATGTACACTGGGTTGCATTGATTAGATTGTAGCTACTATTTGTCACATTTTCTTCACATGTTAAGTTCAAGTCTGCGCCCTGTAATTTGCCGGACTGCAGCTCACCTCTGATCTCCGTCTTCAGCTTGTCCACCAGGGCATCCAGCTCTGTCCTGCTGCGCTCACACAGACTCACCTACAGCACAAACAGTGTTAGTGTTACTGCTGTTGTTGTTCACTGTGGGTTAATGAAGCTGAGCAGGGGGTGTTCCACAGCATGTTACATAAAAACCTGGAGTGTGTTCAGGGTGAAATGAGGGAAACTCTGACTTTCCAGGTCGTTTGAAACAGCGATCGCTACAACTCTGAGTCTGTTACCATGGTAACTGACTCTGAGAATTTAGAGCCCCCCCCCCCCCAAAATAACCGTCGCCCGCCACCCCCTCCC